AAGCAGGTTTAACACGGTATTTACGATACGAAACGAGGGTCGGTAGTTCATGGGGGGGTACCATATACATACATATATATATATATATATATACATATATATTGTACGTATAGAGTCTTTGGCTCATCGCTTTTTTGCTGTTTGTGCTTTTTGACATGTTGTTGGGATCTAAGATTTACAGGAATTGTATTTTGCAAGTCTATTTGAGGACTGGCACTCGAGCCTGGGTACTTGAGGTTGTTGTAATACAGTAGCAGACAGGTCCCAGTAACAGGGCTAGGGGAAGGGCAGTGTGGAAGATCCACTATCACGAATCGATTTTTCGGTCCTAATATACTCTTGCCACACTAAGAAGCCGCAGGCACAGTTCTCGAATGCCAACGCTGCGGATTTGTTGAAGAGCTGCTGACTTTCATGCGTCTGCTACTTTCACTTGGGTGTTTGCTACGACTACAGTGACTACAGGCCCAAAGACTGAACACTAGTGCTGCGGATTTCTTTCAAGACTTTGTGCTTTTCGGACGCCTGCTTCTTGTCACTGGGGGTCTTAGGGTTCCATACTGACAAATGTCGACACCGAAACCTTATCGGCAAATTTATTCCTTATCGTTTTGCGTGAGGAACCAAATAAATAGGGTCATCAGTCTAAATCTGTACAACAAGGCTTTTAACCTCAGGCACTGGCCAATCCGAAGCCATCTCGACGACGGAGTCGTTGACCTCAGTGTGTCTTGCAAAAATCGGATAGACACCTTGCCTCGTCCGCGTCGTTCTTTGCTTGAGGCTGGAGTTCTCAATCTTTGGCGAACATGAAGCTTGCTCGGCGGATCTGCCACAACTATAACGGTATAGCACGGAGCATGGCAGGCATTTGGCTTGAGACTCTATGCAGCTTTATATCGGGATGCTTTAGCATGCCAGGTGGCGCTCTTGGCGAGGCTGGCAAGAGAAGCGCCCACATCACCTTTGATAGAATCTGCGGCCGACACTATTTCACTCGTGCCGGAGCCACCGAGACATCCAGTCGCTGCAGTTGCAGCACGAGCTGCTTTGCGCGCGGAGCGCAGCAGTTGCTGTGGGGTTTTCTGCCTGCGGACCAAGCTGTGCAAACTTGCCTTGCAAACTGTCAATCCTTCGTTCGAGCTTGAGATTCCGCCCTCTCAGCATGCCCTTGTCTCATGTGAGAACGCGAGTGCGCCTCAGCTTTCTGTAAACACACAGCCCTGTCAAAGTCCCAGGCATCGAAGATGCTGCTGCTACCGCCACTGGAAAATACAAACTAGTACTGGCGTTGCCTTCTGCTGCTGCTGCTGGCTCCTCCTTCTCCTACTACTACTGCTACTGCTACTGCTACTGCTGCTGCTACTACTACTACTACTACTACTACTACGACGACGACGACACTGCCACTGCCACTCATCCCACCTCTGCCGTACTGCCACTTCTACTGCTGCTTCTGTGCCTCCTCGTGCTATTCATAGTACTGCTACCAACGATAGTACACAAGTGTCATCAGACTACCGATATGCATCTACGTGATGAGTGGAATGGAAGCAGACGTTTGCTTCGATTCAACTTCATGCTTCCCTTGTTGACACGGTCAATGACTTATTGAAGACTTGCAAGGCAAGCACGTCCCTGATGGAGATGGAGTCAGTGAAAACCCGGGGTGAGTGAGACTGAAGCCCGGAAGACCCAAAGGCTCTTTCTCAGCATACATTATTATTATTGCCGAGTCACGCTGCATTTACTGCAGCTCTTTGACAGCTAATGTCCACTACGCAAGGTCACACATCTGTGCCACTACGCCACCGTGCCTCGAGACCCGGCGGTGCGTCCATCGCAAGAGGCAGGTCTCAGCACGCACAGGTGGAGCAACATGCGTGCAATGGCAAGACTCAGGAAGGTCTGCCAGAGAAGTGAGTGAGGATCTAAACACCTGCTGCCCAAAGCACCTAGAGCAATTAATGATTCGTGGAGCAGATGTTCCTGACCTTGCACCAAGGGCCCGAGCGTTGCCACTTGAAAGCGCTGCGTTCCTCTACGTCAGAAGCAAACCTGCAGTGAGGTCATGCCGCAGAGCAAAAAGTATACTTAAAACTCAAGCTGAGCGCCCATCCAGGTCATCTCTGCCCGGTCGAAAGTCAATCAAGTCTCCTGTGATGACTAGACAGAATCTGTGCAGCTTGGTCGGCGCCGCTCGGTCTGGTTCACACTGCCGCGCACATGTGTGAGCTCCAGGCATATTCAGCATCTTAAGCCCTAAGCCTGCCTTTTGTTGGCAGAGTTTTGCTCCTGAAGTGGCAGACTTTTGCAGCACACCGACGGCCCAGGGCCGAGTGGGCAGAGGTTTGGAGTTTCGAGCCGCAAAAACATGTGTCGGCATGTACAAGCTGACATTCTGCAAGGCTTGCCCGTTCGCGACCCTGCCTTGCTGTCAATATGTGCGGAGGCCATGAACCCATCAACCATGCCACACTCCCTCTTCATGCCTGCAGCTCAAGTCCTGCTCGCCGGCCTCGGGAAAGAGTAGAATTCAACAATTCCACCTGCACTTGTTGTCGCCCCTGCCCTGTACCGGGCTGCCAACCTTTCACTGTGTCCAACTCCAAGGCTGCCTCCTCCACGAAGCCAGTCATTGCCCTCACATCCTTCGCACAAAAAAAACAAACATTGGGAGATCCTTCAAGACGAACCACAAAGCAAGCCTTGCATGCCTTGCCTGTGTTATTCTGCCCGGCTCGTTCTCGGCCACATTCGTGCCACAGATAGCGTCAAGAAGCGTGGTCTTGCCGTGATTGATGTGTCCCAACCTGGGACGGTTTCTGCCGAGCTGCACTGCAACTGCTGCTCCTCCACCTCCACCTCCACCTCCACCTCCTCCCTCCTCCCTCCTCCCTCCTCCCTCCTCCTCCCTCCTCCTCCTCCTCCTCCCTCCACTTCCCCCTCCTTCTGCGTGTTTGTAGAACTAACTACGGCTGCCAATGCTACTACTATCCCTGCAACGGCGACGACGATGATGACGACGACGACGAGAAGTCTCCTAATGCCTCGATTGGTCCATCACCACCACTACCACTATCGACGACAAGGACAGTGGAGCGTTTGCCGACGCGAATTGCTTGTTTGTTTGCTTGCTTGCGTGCTTCCTTGCGTGCTTGCGAACTTGCGTGCTTGCGTGCTTGCGTGCTTGCGTGCTTGCGTGCTTGCGTGCTTGTTTGTTTGGGTTTTTTGTTTTGCTTGTGTGTTTGTTGTGTTGTGTGTTGCTGTGTTGTGGTTTGTTTTGTTGTGTTTTTTTGTATTGTGTTTTGTTTATTTTTGTCGTGATTGATTTTGTGGTGTTTTGTGTTGTTGTGTCTTTTTGTGTTATAGTTTGTTTTGCTTTGGTTGGTTGTGTTTTGTCTGTGTGTTTGTGTGTTTGCTTGTTTGCTTGCTTGTTTGTATGTTTGTTGTTTTGTTTGGTTTGCGACATGTTTGGTTGTTTGCTTGTTTGGTTGCTTGTTTGCTTGCTTGCTTGTCTGTTTGATTATTTGTGTTTTTTGTTTGTTTTGTTTGTTTGTTTGCTTGTTTGTTTGTTTGTTAAGTTTGTTTGTACGTTTCTTTGGTTGTCTATTTGTTTGTTTGCTTGCTTGCTTGTGTGCTTGCATGCTCGGTTAGTTGTTCGTTGTTCGTTGTTTGTTTTTTGTTTGGCTGGTTGGTTGGTTGGTTGGTTGCTTGTTTGCTTGCTTGCTTGCTTGGTTGGGTTGGTGGGTTTGGGGGGTTGGTGGGTTGGTGGGTTGCTGGGCTGCTGGGTTGGTGGGTGGGTGGGTTGGTCGGTTGGTTGCTTGGCTGGCTGGCTGTGTGGGTTGGTTGGTTGGTGGGTCGGTGGGTTCGTGGGTTGGTGGCTTGGTGGGTTGGCTGGCTGGCCTGCTGGCTGGCTGGTTGGCCGGCGGGTGGGTTGGATGGTGGGTTGGTGGGTAGTTGGCTGGTTGGCTGGGTGGCCGGGTGGCTGGTCAGCGGGTAGATTTGAGTTGCTTAAGTTGCTTGGCTCGCGGTTTGCATGCCTGTCGTTATGCATGATCTATCTGTCTGGTAGATGGGTACTAGGAGCTTGGGAGCCTTAGCTTCGTAATCTCCCTTCATCTTCCTTCCATACCTCCGGCGATGCTGCTCGACTAAATAGCTCAATTTAGCCGACTCCCCTCCCCTACTGTCTACGACGATATGAATCACTTGTACGGCCTCGTTGCTGGCAAGTGCAGCACGGACGCTTGGTAGCAGCCGGATGCCCATCCTCGGCAGGCGAATCGATTAACCTGCGCATTCTCTGGGGATAGTTTTCAACACACGAGGGATTCGCCTGCTGCATGGAGCAGACCGGGACCTCACAGTCTTCTTGTCCTGCTACTGTAGGACGGTTTCATGACGATACGTTCTTCAAAGCAGTTTCGAGAGAGCGTTTCTTGCTGGTTCGTCCACAAAATCTCGTCTTGAGATGTTGTTGCGGCCTAAGTTAATCAGCACAGCGCATGGAAGTCTCATGAGGTGATTCAGCCGCCAGAGCTTCGCGAAAGACTGCCTTGGCAAAGAGCTTGGACGCGTCAGCGCTTCGGCACTTGCTTAACTTTGGATGCTGTAGTTGACGGCCACCAACTTGCGCTGAGCTGCTTCTGAGACGCATTCTGGCAAACGAAGAAGCACCTCATCGCAAAGGAGCATCACAACTTGGCGGCTGCATTAACTAGATGCAGAAGCAGCCGTGGCACTAACAGAATCGGCATGATTGACGAGACTACAATATTTAGAATATCTCCTCCCATAGTGTTTGAACACGTAGCACTGCAGCAACTAATAACAGCAGCAGCAGCGTCTCACACAGGCGGTATTGTTGTTAAGAGAATCGTCATGCACAAGGGTAGGATGCTCCCGACTGACAGAAGGGCCCATGTTCCGGTAATAGCTTGTAGCACAAGGACTACTATGCTATACTAGACTGTACTATACTATGCTAGAATATACTCTACTATAATATAATAGAATACCCGATTACGCAGCAAGGCTTGAGGCTGGATGTACTATGTACTCGCCTGCTACCAGGCTTAGGGTTGCGGATTTCAGGAGTCAGAGCACGCATGTCTGCGCAGCGACTGTGGCAAAATGGGGGTTTCCAAAAATAGGGGACCCTAATATAGTACCCTAAATATCCTTCTTATAAGGACCCCCAAATAAGGTACCCTAATGTTCGGAAACTCCCAGGTGCAAACGCGAAAGCCCCACAACCAACAGCCTGTTCAGACAGGCTGACATCCAAACTCGAATGCTAGGTAACTATTATACCTATAGTCTCCATTGTANNCAATGGAGACTATAGGTAGGATCCATAATCCGATTGAACTCTATACATGTATATGGGAACCATCAAATGTCACCGGTGATTTTCAGAGGCTCCCGTTTACTCGGCGCAGTGCTCGTAACTGGGCCCTGCGCTCCAGCCCGAAGTGAGGATGCTGAATCCGAGCCATCCACCTACAGCTCTCGGGAAATCCCACGGGGGGGGGGGGGGGGGGGNNCGGGGGGGGGGGGGTGGTGGCGTTTCTGGGGGAGTACGTCTTTCTAAACGCGTGGGTCGCGAGCCCGAGATCAATCACAGTGCAGCGTCCCAGGACAATCAACACGGAAATAATGATCATGAACATCCTATAGGAGTAGCAGTGATATGCAGTGCTTAACAGCGGCTGAAGCTTTAGAGAGCAGGCACTAGTCACTAGTCGACGACTCAGCACCGTGCGTGTTGTTTAAAGAGCTGCTTGAGGGCGCTATGGCATAATGATTAAATGCCGCCGCTTCAATAGCTGTCCACCCTGCGACAGAAGCCCTGAACCTAGCCCTGCCGGAGCATGAGGCTGCCCACAAGAGCCCCCCGAACTCAAAGCTCACATCGCCAAGCGGAGCTAAGAGCATGTGAAAAGGAATCTGAAAGGCTCGCGTCTTCTCATGGTTTCGCTATCTGGCTACAGCGTCGAGCACGAAACATCCATCAACGTCTGCAAGAAGCGCCGGACGCTTCCTGAAGCCTACCTGATTCAAACGAACTTCTTCACGAAACTTTACGCGCTTAGACCCTTCGACCTTGGGAACTCCCCCTCGGTGGCCCGGTGCTTTAATCCCCGCGATTGTAAAGTCATGTAAAGTCCTAGACGAACCTGTGTCCAAGCATCGAACAGGAAGCGTGGATGAAAGAAACTAGCCCTCGCTTGTATTCGCCAGCAAGACCCGTGCTTCAGGCAAGCTAGGGTCCCTTTAAAGGTTCCGGCTAGACTAAAAAGCTAGCCCATACCAAAGAAACAGAAAATGCAAGGGCAACACTGGGGGTGCGTGGCTACTTCAAAGCCCGGATCTGCAATCCTACACCCATGGACAACCTGAACACCCAAGCGGGGCCGCGGCTCGGAGAAAACGGGCCTCTTTTGAGTCTCTGGGAACTTTTATATCTACGGTCTCAGAGGTCTAGATAGGGTTTAGGGTGTGGGGCAGTTCAACCCTATATTACTCTCAAGTGATAGTCAGAATGGGGTCATCCTGCTTTCATGTCTTTTAAGCCAATCAGTCTGGTTATCTAACCGGGACCAGCGCGCATCTGTGCTGACCAGAACTTCTTGCAAAGCCCCCGGGGACTGAAGGGTCTCGCTGCTTACACGTAGTCACACACACACACACTCTCTTTCAACGGGTCGCTCTGTCCCTCGTACCCTGATTCTATGTTTTTCTGGCTTTTATGCGTCGATTGTTTGCCTGTTGGTTCACGGATCGAATCGAGTTTTGGCATTTACATGTACACGAGTTGCACACGCATACATACACACATTCGGAGCCTGATTGCAGGGCTTGCAGCTTCATGGGAAATCAAGTGACAGCTTTCAAGTCAACACCGTAGAAAACGCCAAAAGCACGCTAAGTCCTAAACCCTGAAACGCCGGCCTTGGCCGTCCTGCTTAGCTTTCTTCATGCAAGACTCTCAGCCGTCTCCAGCATACCCAAGCACGGCAGGTGTGGCTCGAAATAGGAGTGATTCGAATTTCCCCTGTCTGGCTACCAATTATTGTGGACCAAAGGTGTTTTCTGAGTGGGGTTCAGTTTACGGAGATGTTTCTGGCGTAAACATGAGCAGACAAGAATCACTACTTAGGACTCATTTTCAGGATGTGGCGTAGGGTGCAGCCACAAATGCCACCAGCCCTGCAATCGGTGCGGCTTGAGGCCCCCTGCACCAAAGGGGATGATGCGGTCTGCACTCGGCACAGCTTACAATGGTTTGTGGGTTGAGCAAGATTGTGCTGATGGTGAATACGGGCAAGAATAGGAACTATACGTGTCCTTAATTGATCTTAATTACTTATTTATGAAGCCACTCATTGACTACGAGCATAGTTGCGTCGAACCCTTTTCCTGGACCCGGACGTAACTGCCAGGCGATCAAGCTTCAACTCGGCACAGCAATGGGCGATGTCACGCCTGCAGTGCACAAACTCACTTACGAATTAACGCCCTCAAGAACTGGTATAGTAATGAACGGTCTGGTCGCGCTTCGGGAAGCTTTAGACATGAGCCCGCTGCATGCGACGCACGAATCTGAGGTCTGTGAAGCCCCAAGCTTTCAGCACGAGTACGGATCTAAGTCGTCCTGTTTTGTGGGGTTGAACACTAAACTCAAAACATCTCAAAACCCCAGATCCCTACACCCTCTTCCCTACAAGCGCAAAGCAAAAGCGATTGTTCTTTCCCGAGGACGCAGCTCAAAGAGCTGCTCCAGGTAGGGCAGGACCTCGAAGGCACA